GGTCTGTACTGGTCGCCACCCACAGTGCACTGCTTCATAAACAGGACAGAGAAGAGCAAAACCAAGTGAACTGGTGATGAGCACTTTACAATAAGGGGTGGGGGTGTCTGGATCAAACTACCCATCTAAGTAGGGGGAAGGTGATAGGATGTTAAAGGCTAATGGATCTAAACAAGCAACCTCTTTGGCTAAATCCAAGTTACTCCAACTCCATAACAGAAATAAAAGGAACTAGTGGGAATGAAAATGCACATTTTATTTCAGTTAGTTCTGTACAGAATACAACAGACAGCAGAAATGACAGCAAAACACTGAGGCACAGATCAACAAAAAAATATTTAGCATGACAATGAAAGTCCAAAGCTCCAGTTGGCACAAAACTTATGCCACTTCCTCGTCTCCCTCCTCCTCCTCAAACTCGCCCTCCTCTTCTGCGGTGGCATCCTGGTACTGCTGGTACTCGGACACCAGGTCGTTCATGTTGCTCTCGGCCTCCGTGAACTCCATCTCATCCATGCCCTCTCCGGTGTACCAGTGCAGGAAGGCCTTGCGCCTGAACATGGCGGTGAACTGCTCAGAGATGCGCTTGAACAGCTCCTGGATGGCGGTGCTGTTGCCGATGAAGGTGGCGGACATCTTGAGGCCACGAGGAGGAATGTCGCAGACGGCCGTCTTCACGTTGTTGGGGATCCATTCCACGAAGTAGCTGCTGTTCTTGTTCTGCACGTTCAGCATCTGCTCGTCCACCTCCTTCATGGACATGCGCCCTCGGAAGATGGCGGCCACCGTCAGGTAGCGGCCATGACGCGGGTCGCAGGCCGCCATCATGTTCTTGGAATCGAACATCTGCTGGGTGAGCTCTGGCACCGTGAGGGCACGGTACTGCTGGCTCCCTCTGCTGGTGAGGGGGGCAAAGCCGGGCATGAAGAAGTGCAGACGGGGGAAGGGGACCATGTTGACGGCCAGCTTGCGCAGATCTGCGTTCAGCTGGCCGGGGAAGCGCAGGCAGGTGGTGACGCCGCTCATGGTGGCCGACACCAGGTGGTTCAGGTCTCCGTACGTCGGCGTGGTCAGCTTGAGCGTGCGGAAGCAGATATCGTACAGGGCCTCATTGTCGATGCAGAAGGTCTCGTCCGTGTTCTCCACCAGCTGGTGCACCGACAGCGTGGCGTTGTAGGGCTCGACGACAGTGTCTGACACTTTGGGAGAGGGCACCACGCTGAACGTGTTCATGATGCGGTCGGGGTACTCCTCGCGGATCTTGCTGATCATCAGGGTCCCCATGCCCGAGCCAGTGCCACCTCCAAGGGAGTGTGTGAGCTGGAAGCCCTGCAGACAGTCGCAGCTCTCGGCCTCCTTCCTCACCACATCCAGGACGGAGTCCACCAGCTCCGCGCCCTCAGTGTAGTGACCCTTTGCCCAGTTGTTGCCAGCACCGCTCTGGCCTGTGGACAAAAGCAGCTCATCAGTACCTGCAGGAGGCTGAGATAATGCTCCTCTGCTCTCCTTGCTCTTATGCTAAACTAAACCAGATGGTTGCAAGTTTACTCACCGAAGACAAAGTTGTCCGGCCTGAAGATCTGTCCGAAGGGCCCAGATCGCACAGAGTCCATGGTGCCAGGCTCCAGGTCCACCAGGATGGCACGGGGCACGTACTTGCCACCTGAAATCAAATGCTCCGATTACATTTTCCACTCAATTACACGTCTCACTTTAAAAAAAAAAACTTCTAGACATCAATTACCTGTACTTACAAGAGCAAAAACCGTATCTGAACCTGGATACGAGTCAGCAATTTCAAATCCCATCTTTCACCTCACTGTGAAGCATCATGAGATGCTATCATTTGCAAAGCACTACATAAGAAGACATTAAAATCTAGACAACTCTCATACATGCTCATTTTAATGAACCCGGTGTTGGAGAAGGATAGGATCCCCCTTTGGAGGCCTGGTTTCTCTCAAGGTTTCTTCCCACTATGATCCCTTGCCACTGTCACCTAGGGCTTGCTCACTGAGGGGGGGGGGGGGGGGTTCTATGCTTATGGAACACCGACTTCCATAAGCATAGAAAAAAAGCTAAATAATAATGGCTTACACTTATATAGCGCTTTTCTGGACACTCCACTCAAAGCGCTTTACAGGTCATGGGGAATTCCACTACCACCACCAGTGTGCAGCCCCCACCTGGATGATATACATCGACTCACATCGACACAGCCTGCGAGATCACTGCTCCTGCTATAACACGTCATATTTTAATCTTCGATATCCATCACCCACCTGAGGCCTCATTGTAGTAGACGTTGATCCTCTCCAGCTGGAGATCACTGTCGCCATGGTAGGTGCCCGTCGGGTCGATCCCGTGCTCATCGCTGATCACCTCCCAGAACTACAGAGGACAAAAACAGTAAAAGGACCGATGGCATTAAAACATCCAGCCAAAAAAAAAAATATTACTAAAATGGCAAGACTGCAGAGGCAGATTTAAAAGGGGACTGCGAACTTGTCATATCTCCAGTACAGCGCCCTGTATACCGCAATACGACATTCGTCGATAATCCCAGAAGGGGTCGAGGGTGGGGTGAGGTTACATACATATTACAATGGTATATGCACGTCGGGTCAATTCCCTGCTTCCAGAACTACAATTAAACAGGAAGGACTTATTATAAATAAATAAAAAACACCACAAAAAGACTTCATGTTGTTCATGGAATGACCCAGAAGCTCGTCGGGGGGAAAACAAGGGCATGGCGCATTTTAAAGCGTCAGCACGTTTAAAGACATCCCCGAGTCAAAACCGGTCTGAATAAAACCCCAACACCCAAGATTAGACGGGCTAATAAAACTGCAATTCTGTTCCAGCCCTGGAGATTTAAAGGCGTCTCCCACACGCTTGATCTCTGGCGCGTCATCGCCGGGGGGGGGAGAGGGGGGGATGCGCGCGCCCGCGCCACCGCCCATCAAGCCCGAGCTTTTGAATCTCGGGGGGGGGTGACGTCATGTCTCCGAGCCCGACGGGCGCGCCCCTGCGGCCCGTGATTGGGCAGCTTGCCAGGTCTTTTTCATCCATTTAAAATGAGATTATTAAATCAATCGCAGTCGGTTCGGATTTTGAGTTTGCCCCCTTTTAGTGCGAAAAGAAGCCAATGCGGCACTGTTCAGTGAACTAGGAGCCAACTCAAGGTTTTTTTGGGGGGAAAACAAAGGTTACTTCCCGTCTGCCCCGCAATGCGGATTCGCCGGGTGGAGCACGAGTCAATGTTTCACCAGAGTCCGAATAAAACCTGTGGTTTCGTTAATAAACGCGTTCTCGTAATTTAATACTCGTGCTTCGCAGATCAAAATAAGCAAATTACTAAACGCATTAGTGTGCTTGTCGCTAAACTGAAT